TTTGGTTGGTTGATGATGCATGGAGGGGATTGTAACCATGGCAATGAGACAATATACGATAGAATGAGTATAAAATTAATGTTCTCCCATGTAAACTATCACATAATTCACAATAAAACATATAAGAAAAAAAAAATGCACCCATTAAAAGCCTAATGGAATCACAGAGAAAAATGGACAACTCCACCTTCTAGGGGAAAGAATCAACATAATCCTTATTTATTGAACATCACCTTGATTTAATGGTTATATATAGATCCCTGCATCTAATGACTAAAGACTACACTTTTTAAAAAATCATACATGGAAACTACAAAAAAGTGACCAAGTGCTAGGTCATGAAGCAAGTCATGAGAGACAAAATCAGAGAATCAAAAGAAACCCGGGAGAGTGATGAACTGGATTCTAATGGCTTTGTAGTTCCAAATCCCAGTCCTTCCTGAGGTCTGATAATATCCCTGTTATTTGTAACCAAAATACTGCCAGTCCCATCTCTCCTCCTTGGCTCTAGCTATTCCTTTTGCTTAAACTCCACCGACCCCTGTGCTGCCTCCAATTTTGCTTGCCTATGTCTTCTCAATCCTTCAATATTATTCTGTCCTAACATAGTGATATTTTTCTCTCTCACCCCAACTGTTGAAACTCTCCGAACCTGTAGAGAGCATTCTGTCTGGAAAACTCTCGAGTGGAAGCAGAAGCGTTTTGACCTGATTTGACCCCTCTGTCTTTCTGCTGTGCGCTTTATCTCTGCCACTTGGTGCCTGCCCCTCATACAGGTCATACTTGGTAACTTGGTGGTTGGTGATCAGCCGGTGTATAGCGAACTAAGAGCGAAAGCCCGAGCTTTTCTGAAATAGATGTTTTGTCCATTCAGTATACAGAAGCTCCATAGGAGAAGGGAACACCCAGTGAATTATCAGCTGTTTGGTGAACCAAAGGCATCTTGGGAACTGTGCTCTCTTGGCCTAACTGACTATCAAAGAACGGATTTTTCAGAAACCATCTAGAGTCTTATCTAGGCCAACTCCTTCATTTATAGATGATCCAGAAAATTGACTTAACCACAGTCACACAGTTTGTAAGGGACAGAGCTGCCTTTGGAGGTAAGGACGTTAAGAATTAGGAGGTGTCATGAGCTTTACTGAAAGAGAAACGTCTACCATCATTTCCCAGCCTCCATCTTCTGTTGGAGAAACAACACAGCTGTTTTTACTCTTGCCAGCCATACTGTCAGCAAGCTAGCTCCTAGCTATTATTCAGACCTTAAATGAGATGCTTCCTCCTCCAAGATGTATTCCCTCCAAGTCTGGTCCATTTTACACTATCTAATCAAGCAAGGCCTGTTTGTACACATAGCCTAGCATAAGTAGGCCCTCAGTGAACATGTGGTGAGTGAAGAAAAAAGCCAGGTCTGAGCTGCTGCTGACTGGAGTCCTTTATTCAGGCCTTCAACTGAGAGTGGACAGGGCAAGGCATGCTCTGAGAGTCCAGTCGGTCCACTTGTCTCACAGCTGGCTTTGTGAATTTGAAGAGAACTGCACTGAGTGGTCAGTTTGAAAGCAGTATATGCTGAGATGCTTGAGGCTGTTGAGGCATCTGTGCCACAGATGGTGGGACCCTCGCCGCTCAGCAGAGGAAGTCAAGCCCCACAAAGCAGTCAGTCGGTGATGTTGCTCCCTGGGAGCAGTGGGACAGAAGTGAAATCTGGAAGTAGGTCAAAGCAATCAGAAGGACACTAGGCCTCTCCCCTGCATACATTTCCTTTCTCAGTGGTCATGGGGATAGGGCTCCTCAGCCAGAGAAATGTCTAATTGATTATGAACTGAGCCCTCAGGAGCCAGGCTGAGCCAAGAGCACACATCCAGTCCAGGCCAGAGGTAGCCAAAGAAGATATCCTGGCCAGCCAGGGAAGTAAGGAAAGGTTTTTGTCCTGATTGTAAACTCCTTCTCCAACTCCTGTGACCTCAGTGCATCTTCCGAACCCCACACCCCACTGTCCCAACTGTTGATGCCTCCAAGATCACTCCAGCACCATCCACTGATCTCTAATTACTAGTCACTCTAGGATAAGCACTGTAGGATTCCTAACCACAAGGTAGGCAGTTCAAAACCACGAGCCGCTTGTTGGAAACCCTATACAGGGTCCCTCTGAGTCGGAACCAACTTTTTGACACTAAACAACAACAGTCTTTTCCCAAAAAACAAAAACAAAAAACCCCAAACCCTGTTCATTTGGATCGGTTGTTTTATTCCAACCTCTGTTACAACAGAGATCTGGTGTTTGGCAAAGTTGGGTGTCTTTAGGACTTGGGAAACAAAAGAAAAGCCCATCACTTCTGAGTGAGGCAGCCAGTCCAGCTGGAGGAGGCAGTGAGTTGTGGGAGAGCTAAAGGATCACTTGGCCAGTTTGACAGACATTGGGCCAAGCCATTGTCTAAATAAGCTCCCCAGTATTGGAAAGAAAGAAAATCAGAGCATGTTTTCAGCCTTGCTCAAGAGCCCAGAACATGCTCACAACTCCAGGAATCTCTGTTCTTCCCTGCGAATGGAAACTATGATCCATGAGAACAAATTTGACTGTTAGGGTGTGTGCCCAGTTACCCAGCCCCATAGCTTAGGGAACCAGGCCTCGTATTACCTGTGACTGATTTCCAGAGTACCCTCTGCCCCTTGAAGCAGCGGGCTCCCTTTAATGGATAAAGGACAGGACAACAACAACAGAATCAAAGTACAAAATGTGCATTTATTGTCATCTGCCCTGGGCTACACTAGGCTTCTAGCTAGAACAAAAGAAGTATAAGAGAAACATGCTAATATAATTAGTAATCTCATGCCATTGTGGATACAAGAAGATGTTGTTTTCCTACTTGATAGAGGAACCATGATCACCCTATAATCGACAGCTTCACACTGAATGTGCACTAGAGTTCTAAATTGAGCAAAGAAATAAATAAGTTATTTACATTTCAAGTACAAATATTATAGTTTATTCCTTTATTTCACCACCATTTATACATATGAACCATGATGGAGTGCTTACTTACATCCTGTGGAGCAAGACCAAGAAATATGCTTTATTTGGTTATTTGAACTCAAAATCTGATTTTTATTATCACAGAGGTGGGCAAGACCATGCAAAAAGAAAAGGAAGTACATTTCCGCTGGGGGAACTAAATGGAAAAGTCAAAGTCACAGAGTTTTATCACTTGCCAATTTCTTTTAAAGGACAAGACAGAGGGACTTTATTTTGCCATTTTGAGGGCTACATGCCAATCAGTATCATGGGACAAAGACAGTAAGTAAAGGCATGAAGAAACAAACAAGCAAATTGCACCAGAACAGATGTACAGATGTGCTTAAATTAACCCAGTGACAGTTTGTGCAGCAGTCTCACAATGGCTGTCACATGAGGTGGGGGGGAGAGGGGAAGAGGACAGAGCACCAGGAAACTCAGTTGTTCAGCCTTTGTTGATCAACCCCAAGGAGCCTCAGAGAGGACGCCTCTCCTCGCCTAAGCTGGCCTGCTCTACTTGCCCGCTGCTGCCTCCTGGTGGCCAATCTCCCTCGGATAGTGCCTGGGGCAGGTGGTGAGACAGGATTGCTTTGGAGGTATTGGAAAGCACTCTGGCGGCCCACCTGCCTCTCTACACAGTTAAAGGTGAGGGCCACTCCCACGTTGCTTTTCATGATTCTGGAGGAGCCATCAGATGTTCCATCAAAACACCTGCCAAGCGCGATTTCCTTGGCTGTGCGAGGGTCCTGGTCAGTGACAGTGTAGATGCCATAATTGTGACCCAATGGGTCCAAGGGCGCCAACATGGTGTACTCACTAGTGTCATTGTTGACTGCCAATGGCAGGTGATTGACCAGATATTCATGCAGCATAGAATTCACACTGGCTCGATAGCAGCTACCCTGGGGAATAACTTTCACCAGGGTACGGTCTACCCGGTCCTGGTCATAGAGCATCCCACTGCACTTGAACTCTAGACAGGCAGATGAGACATTGGGTTGATCCCTATCCCGTGTGCTCTTCACATCTCGGATTCCATACAGCTTCCCCACTGTCTGCCGGTGGGTGCCCCCCATATTCCGGGACCGCACATTCACCTCCAGTGGCCCCACGATCTTCACCTTGATGTAGCAGGCTCTGAATTCCATTGGCTTGGGCCACCATGCCAGGTAATCTTCAGTCCAGCTCATGGGATCATCCTCGTTGAAGGGGACTGTGTTATAGTCATAACGATCCCCCTCAAACTGGTAGAAACGAAAGTGGGCTGCACTAGGAGGTGCGTCCTCGCATGCCTGGAGGTCTTCAAAAGCATAGATAGGTCCATTGCTCTCTTCAGCTGAGTTGGGTCTTGGCTTGGCCATGCTGATCTGGAAAGCTGTCTTTTTAACCCGTGGGTCTTCATGGTCTGACCGCCGGTACTTGAGTTTGTTGAGGTAGGGCTGAGGGACACCAATTGCATTGGGGTTGAATTTAGGAGAAGACTGTACTGCTTCAAGTTCTTCTCCAGCCAGGCTTGCCAAAACATAGGCAGAGTAGGCATCAGGAGACTGGTCATCACAGAAGGCAGGCAGACAGGCTCCATTGGGGCCCGTGATAACACTGTCAAAGCGGCCCCAGGCCCTGGGGTTGGATGAGAAGCCAGTCCTAGGCTCCAGGTTGATCACAGAGACCACAACTCCCTGGATTTGCTCACTGGGCAAAAACCTCTCACTCCGATAGGCCCTCACCTTGATATAGCACCTCCTGTTTTCAGGAACATCCAGGTTAAAGAGCCTCCTCTCACGGATCTCCATATTGCCCACCAGAAACGTTCTCTCTTCCCTTTTGTTCCGCCTTTGGCTTTCAAATTTGAAGTCATCTTCCTCCTCCCACAGCCCAGTGTCTGGATTGAGTGACCAGAGTTTCATTATGGCCACATGCTCTGGCATCTTGACCTGGGTTGAATCTAGGTGGACCTTCACCTTGCCAACATTGAGTGACTCTGAGGTGGCCTCATCTCTGAAGTCCACAGAGAACATGCCATATGTCCGAAGAGGGAAGGTATCTCCTTCATCATTGATGAAGTTCAGGTCACTCTGGGCTGCTGTGGCTGTGGAAATATTCCGGGGATCTAGAAAGGTCACACTGGCCTTTACTTTTCCTGTATATGGCTCCCCATTCTGCCTGTAGAAACTCTTGGATGGAATCTCCAGCTCAGCCACTGGGTCTTCACCAATCATCTCCCCAAGTGGGATGATGTTGGTGTCCAAGGCCTCTAAGGTGATGGGCTCTTTACGCCGAAGCATCTTGATCTCATGGAACACTGAGCTTCCCCTCTTGTTGAAGGGCAGCACTTTGGTGGTATTGACAAACTTCTGCAGCCTGTCCACAAAGGTAAGCACCAGCCTCTCAGTGTTCTGGGGTACATGGAGGGTGAAAGTGCCTTTGTAGCCTGTCATGCTCACCCGGCTTCCCCCCATATACACATAGCCAAAGCGCATGGGCTCCCCATTGTCAGCGGCACTAACCCGGCCCCGCACAATACTCCGGGTCTCTGTACACCGTTGGCAGCTACACTCGATGGCCACCTTAGTAGGCAGTGTGTACCCACTGCATTGGATCTCCCTCTCCTCTGTCTTGGAGATGCCACAGCAGTGCTCCACAGCATCCCGGCACCGGATCCCGTTATCCTGCCGCCCCGCACAGGTCTTGATAGGGCAGCGGCCCACATCATAATAGAAGGAGTTGGTGGCAATCTGAAAGCAGTCGTGGGGTAGCCGGATAAGGTAGTTCTCAGGGGTTGGGTTACAGGGGGTCTCATCAGAGGCTGTGAAAGGAAATGTGGACGTTAGATGTTACTTCACATCCGTCACAAAGTTTGCTTCACCTCTTTGCAATGCTTTATGGCTTTCAAATACTTGCATATCCATGATCCTGGTTTTTATAGTACTATTAGGAGAGAGGAGTCCTGGTGTGGCGTTGAGGGTTAATGCGCCACACTGCAAAGCTGTTTGAACTGCAAGCTCGGTGGTTCAAGCTCACCAGCTTCTCCTTGGAAACACTATACAGGGTCGCTATGGGTCAGAATCGACTCGACAGCACTTAACAACAACATTAGGAGAGAGGTAAGAAGCTGCAAGTATTACCAACATCATTTTATAGATTCAGAAACAGAGTTGGGGATATTTAGGGATATCACCAAAATTGGGGGTACTGCTGGCATCGAGAGGGCAGGGTCATTGATGCTCTATGTCCAGCAGGGCCTGGCATTGCCCTGTATAAAGGATTGTTCTGAGTCCTGCATGACTCTCCTATACTTCACCAGACACTCATGTAGGTGACAAACCTGTTTAAGCATATTTAAAATGATCAGAACCTAGTATTATCTTTTTTTTTGCATGTGGCACTGTGGCTAATGTGTCAGACTGCAAAGTCCTTTGAACTGCAAGGTCGGTGGTTCAAGCTCACCAGTCGCTCCTTGAAAACCATATACAGGGTCGATATGGGTTGGAACCGACTTAACGGCACTTAACAACAACAACAACAACATACATTAAAATTTTTTAAAAGGCAACTACTACGTTAACTGAGCTAGGATTGCACTTATAACAGCACTAAGAATTGTTTCTTATCTCAGAAAAATCACAGCCTTCAATTCCTACAGCATTACCCAGGGACTGAGAACTGCCCAAAGAATACCTCTGTTTCTATCAGCATTTGTAGTTGTCACATTAAAGGGCAAAGATCTGACCTCTTTGCTGATTTTCTCATGTCATTGTACCAACACATTTATGCATGCAAATACTATTTTGCATTAAAATTCTATTCTTTTTATTTCTTCTTTATATTATAGTTGTTGTTGTCAAGTACTGATGAGTTGGTTCTCAGAGTGACCTTGTATAGGGTTTCCAAGGAGCTGCTGGTGGGTTTGAACTGCTGACCTTGTGGTTCCCAGTCCAGTGCTGATCATACAGCGCCACACCAGGGGTCCTATATTATAATTTATTATTGTGGTTGTTAAGTGCTGTCGAGTTGGTTCTGACCCATAGTGACCCTATGGGTATAGGGTTTCCAAGGAGTGGCTGGTGAGCTTGAACTGCTGACACTGTGGTTCAAGACGACTTTGCATTCCAGTGCATCAGCCCACATCTTACACCAGGATCATAACATAGTTAGGGCCATATATATATTTGAAAATGACATGCAGTTAAGTTATTGTATATAAATTTAAACAGTCCATAATAAAGAATAATAAATTTTTATAAGACAGTACTAAAAAATAACTGTGACAAATGGGTAGCATTGGTATGATGGGTTAGGAACCCATGTTGAGGGGGCTCCCCATATCCTCTGGTGGGGTCCTCAATGTCCTGCATCCTTCCTGTCCTGAGGACTGGAGTCTGAAAACTTTCAGGATCCTTCTAGTAAAGTTCCTCTTCTCTACCTTTTGTTTTGTTTTATGTGGACAGATTACTAAAATAATTCTATTTCCAGCTCTCACTTCTCAAGTGCAGGTTCCTGATGGCCTTCAGCCTTGAATCTTTCCTGCCATAGTTCACTGCTTGATGACACCTCTGGTCATGTCACTCTTACAAAGCCCGTTGGTTTTCCACTTGTGAACCTTGTCTCACCTTTACCCCTTGGCCTAGAATGCTCCCATACATAAAGCCCCTGCCTATTCTTTAAAACCAGGAGTTCTCAGCCTTGGCTGCAAATTAAAATCATCTGGGGGGCTTTTAAAACACATGATGCCAGGCCACATCCCAGACCAATTGCACTGGAATCTCTGGGAGTAAGACCTAGGCTTCTGTGTTTTTTAGAACTCAGCAGGTGATCTTAGGGGGAAGCCAAGGTTGAGAATGATGATTTAAGACACAACTGAAAAGTTGCTCCCTCAAGCAGCCATCCAAGATCACACCTACTTGGAAACGATCTGTCTCTCTTCTGTATAGAACACACCTCTGTATCTCCTGTTTACGCTGCATTTTTCTATATGAGTTACGTCCTTTCACCCCTCCTACAGTAATGCTTGGTGAGGCTAGGTCTGTACCATCTTCATATCCCAGAGAGCACAGCACTGTACATGCCATAGAAAAGTTTCTCGTGCCCAATTATACTGCCTGGGGCACTCAGCCAGGCTGGTAGCAGACCCAGGAACCCATACAAGCTTACCTATAACAGACAGACGGGCAACCTGAGACTTCACAGCCCCAGCATCACTCTGAGCCTTGCAGAAATAGTCCCCAGCCTTGCCTGGCTTCAGGTTCCTCAGCACCAGCTTACTCTCGTGCTTGTAGAGAGAGGGGTCCAGCAGTGTGCCATTGTGGTACCTGTCAGGGATGGAGAGGTGGAGCCTAAGGAGATGTTGAGAGGGCAAGTATCCTTGCAGGACAGTGTCTAAGAGCAAGCAGCCAGGGAGACAGATGGTGGATGAGTCCCTGCAGATGCCAACATTTTCTCTGGCTCATCTTGCCCAACAGTACTGACTGGCCTGAGAGTTAAAGGCCATGGTTCTGTGTCTCAGCCTCATCAGTTAACTGGCTGTGGGTCCTTAGACAAATCATCTCACCTCTTTGAGATTCAGTTTCTTGGTCTGTAAAATGGGAGTGATGATCCCTAGTGGACCTCACAGGGTCCTTGGGAAGGTTAAACAAGAAAATGGTTGTTAAGTGTTTGTGAAGGCTAAAGGATTCATAGCCAATGAGATTCTATCCATGTTTGCTTTGTTGGGTCTGATGAACCTTGTTCTGTGTCCTGTAGATATGCAAGTTGGGACCCTGAGACCAGAGATGCTCTGTGGGTGCCCCACTTTCGAGAGGACAACCAGAGGGTTTGCTGGTTGTCTGGGCAGCTTGCACCTTGCTGGCCCCCACTTGTATGTGTCAATATCTGGGCTCTGAACCTGTGTCTGGCTTATGACTTTATTCTGTTGGTTGTTGTCATTATTGAATCCAATGCAAGACAGCTTTGGTTTTCAAGAGGAGAACTGGGCAGTGTAGCTAGAAGAGCACTTACCAGAAATACTTGTCTGGACCAGGCTTCCCTGTGGCCTTACAGCACAGGGCCACACTCTGCCCAGCTTTCCGTGCTTTTGTCTCAGGATTCATCACAATATATGGAGTCTCTGGAACAGGGGATAAGAAATAAATGAGAAATAATGGGTTGGTTTTTCTCTGTAGCAGACGCTTCAGAGGAAGCTCTCTCAGGTCCTTTGACTTATATTAATATTCTATGACATCACCCACACCTCTAGCCCCACTTGAATGGCCCTAATACTACTTAAGGGAACTGGTCCAGATTGGAGTCTACCTTTGTTTCATGGCTTCACAAGCAACCTCTGAATGGGGCCGTGGAGAACCCAGTGGACCATCCCAAGATTCCTAAGCACTACCATTGGGGTAGAACTGGCTGTTTTAAATAGTGTAATACTCCTGTTCTACTTCCCCAGCAGAATTTTCTGGCCATTCTGTATCATTCTTAACTCTCCAAGCCTCTCTATGACTTCCAAATCCCACAGTATAATCAATTGTTTTAAGTAAAGTATCCAGAGAATGAAAATCTCATGCATTTGAGGAAACAAACCATTCTGAAATTTGGGGGGAAGAATACTCCAATAGAGTCAAATAACAAGTGCAAAGGCCCTGAGGCAGGAAGTGTGGCTTTGAGGAACAGAGACGAGGCTAGTGTGGTTGGAGTAGAGTGATTGGTCTGTGTGGGGAGTGATCAGGGAAGTAATAGGGGGCCAAATAATATAGGGTCCTGTGGCCTACAGTAAGAATTTTGTGTTTTGCTCTGAGTAAACTGGGAAGCCTTCTCTTAGCACTGTGACCTCTCCATTTAAAAGTCCAGCTCTCTTCCCCAGCCCTACCCCGGAGGGTTCAGGTACCTGCCCTCTTGAACTCTGCATTGATGGTGGCTGACTTCAGGCTAGTCTTAGGCATTGTGAGTATGATGGGGGCAAACTTGGCCTTTGTGATCTTCAGGATGGTTTTGCCATCGGGGCACAAGCCAGGGATTCGGAACCTTCCATTACTGTCTGTCTGGGTCAATTGCTTAGGAGTCTTGGTCAGCAGGTAGACAGTGGCCCTTGAGGCTGGGGTACCCCCGGGGAGGGAGACAGCCCCTTGCAGCACAAAGTTCTGGCACATACAGGCATCACAGTCAGCATTCACCTGGCCCATGGGACAGGTCAGGTCACAGTCTGTGGGAAACAGGGCTAGATTAGCAGGGGTTACATGGATTCTGGCCCTCCCTCAGTCACATCCCAGCCTGTAGACTCACTTAGGCCTCTGTTACCCTTCATTATCAGACTGCGTGACTAACTCCTACTCATCCATTAGGAATCAGCACAAGATGCCCACCCTAGGAAGCGTCCTATGGGAATTAACCTTGCTCTGTGCTTCCACATTTCCCTGCATATCCCCCATTGAAGCATTCAATACATGCTCAGTTAATACATGGTGAATAAATGAAGAATCTGTCTCGGTCTGGCCTTTCAACCCTTCCACCTCAGATGCTTCCCACTCAACTCTCCAGGCCCTGTTGAGTGCTAGAAATGTGGATGGTACCTGTACAGTCCTGGCCCACGCAGAGTTGGCCCTCCTCAGTGGCCTCACTGCACAGTGACACTGTCTCTGCCAAGCAGGTACGTGTACGGGTCTGAACCCCCGTCTGACCACAGGCAGCTGAGCACTTGCTCCAGGGAGACCAGGCACTCCAGGTGCGCTCCGCATCTCGGTGCAGGGACCCTGCAAGGCAGTATCATCAGACCTTTTGATTTCCCTTCCAAACCATGAGGCTATTTGTTTTCTGGTGAGGAGCAATCAAGACCTCCATTTTTGTCATAGATGCCACTGGTATTTTATTTACTGCAATTATTTTTCCAACAGATGGAAGTCAAGAGTCTTGAGGAAGTAGTGTCTCTTTCTAATTTGTACAAAGGCATCACATAGGTTGAGGGTGGCCCTGAGAGGGGCTTGTTGGCCAAGCACTGAGAGTTTGATATGCTGTCCAATTTGTGCAGGGAGAGTGCCATCTTCCCCCTCCATCGGTGAAAACAACCACTCCTGGGAAGTTGGAATCTGGTCCCTGCAGTGACTCAGATATCAAGCCCTGGTCCGTCTACACTCTTCACCTCTAATCTGAGGCCTGTATGCAAGAATGCCCAGGAGACCAGCCTGAGCTCCCATTCCAGATGATCACCACTCTTGCTTGGACTAGCAGAACCCACAAGAAGAGGGGGTAACTATCTAAGAATTGGGGGAGGCCTACAACTGGCTCCCCACAACTTCTGTGTTGTCCAGCATTGGGAGATGGAAAAGCATGGACTCACTTAGGCCTATGGTAATTAACCTTGCTCTGTGCTTCCACATTTCCCTGCATATCCCCCACTGAGGCATTCAATACATGCTCAGTTCATACATGGTGAATAAATGAAGAGTCTGTCTTGGTCTGGTCTTTCAACCCTTCCACCTCAGATGCTTCCCTGCAAACACTGACATGGTTCAAATCCCAACTGTGCATTTAGCAACTATGTAATCATGAGAAGTTACCTAACCTCTATAGACCTTGAGTAACTTGTTAAAAAGGAAATCCCGTTGACACCAGTTGTAAAGATTGACTAATGTAGATAACTAACATGATGTCTGGCACATAGGAAGTATAATTCAAAACCAACACTTGGTGAACACTTACCATATGTTCAGCTCTCTTTATCCATTGTCTCAATCATCTTAAGAACCCCTATGAAAAATTACTAGTATTGCTCCTGTTCTACATGTAAGAAACCTAAGATTCAGACCTTCAGAAAAATTGGCCCAGAGAACACCAATTATATGGTAGTCCCAGAATTTAAATCCCAGTAGCCTGTGGTCTTAACCACCATGCCACGTGCACTGAACAAAATGGCTTGAGTGGAGAAGACACAGAAATACAGACATCATTGGGAATATCATGGTATAATGACACTAATTTAAAAAGATGAGGCTTTCTGCTCCTGAGAGGATTTGCATCCCCAGAGGGTCTCTGTGGGTTGGAGTGGCCTAGACAGACAGCACTTAACAATAACAACAACAAATGACACTAATGGGTTATTATTGGAGAGCTGAAGTGTGTGTGTGTGGTCCAGAGTTTCCAGGACCAGAGGGAGGTCCAGGCTTTTTCCTGGGTTTGTGGAGGTAGGAGTTGAGGCACCATTGGACTCACCTGGTGGGCAGAAGAAGCGAACAGTATAGTTGGAGCAGTTCCGGCCAGATCGCTGCTCCCTGTTGACACACCAGAAACCCTCACGGAGGCTGCCATGGACCACCTGGCCAGTGCGGCCTGCAGGTATCCAGTCAGTGGTCCTAGCCTCTAGCCATAGGGGCCGGGCACATACACGGTCCCCATAGTAGAAGCGAATGGCGTCCAACCGCTCATAGTCACCCTGCCCACCTGGGTGGTCGATGTTGAACCATGTTGTCCACTCACCAGGACCTAAGAGATCAGAGCCAGCTTGGGGTGGAGCCACACCCTGGAGTCCCAGGGGAGCTGCAGTTCCCCTTTCCTGCTCAACACCTGGGAGTCATCCCTCCCCCATCGGTGTTATGCATGTTGCTTGCGTGTCTCTCTCTTCAGCATCTCCATGATCTCTTAGCACTTTGAACCCCCTACCACAGAGGCCTCCATTGAACTTTTGTCAGCCCCCTTTTACCATACCAGTAACGTCCTGCTTGGTCTTTCTACCTCTGGGCTGCCCCTCCAGCTCTGTCTCCTCTTTACCTCCCTACAGCCAGGGTGAACTGTCTCCATTTGGCTTAGACCACACCACTCCCCAGTTTACAATATCCTTTCGCCAGGCATTCAGGGTGCCGAGGAATTTGCCTCTGCTATCTATCCACCTCGTTTCCTCCCTCTTTCCCCACCAGCCTGTGTGTGGCCACAGCAGGTGCTACAGCATGCTTAGAATTTATCAGGCAGCCTCATAAGCCTGAGTGATCCTGTATGCTAGGTCCCTCTGCCTGGATAGAAGCATAGGTCAATGCTTTGTAAAAGTGGGTTTCCATGGAACCGTGACCTCATGCCTTGACTTCAGAAATTTTCTCAGCAGCTCAGTAAAAACGTCCCCTTCCAGCACCTCCTTACTCCAGCCACCACTCACTGTCCAGAGGGTCCACAGGCGTGGCAAAGATTCTGGGGGTCCTCTTCCCAGGCTGAACTCTTCTCACTGATTGAGTTAGCGTTGTCTGCCTCCCTGGAGATCAGAAGAAGAAACTGAGTGAGAAGTCAGGTCAGTAAGATACAATCACCAGATTCTCAGGACTCAGGAAAGAAGAAAATGTGGTGGACAGAGCATGTGTGCTGGACATGGGTTTAAACCACACTCAATCACTGACTGACCTTCAGAAAAGCTTTCTCCCCCTGAACCTTTCCCCCAGGAAATATGCATGAATTATGAATCACCACAGTCCAGAGCCACGTTGCATATGCAGACTGATAATTCATGTGCTCACTGAACGCTAGCTCCCTTTTTGCTCTCACTCTAGAATCACATAGTAAGTGGGTTGGGGCTTGTCTTTTTTGAATAAACGGAGTTTTACTTTTTTCCTTTGTAAAATGGAAATATTAGTCCCGACTTTACAGGGTGGTTTTCTGTTCACATGAGGATTCCATGAGGAAACACAGAAAGCATCTCAAGTACACCAAAGACTTGAAGAGCATGCACTCCAAAGGTTGTGCTGCATCTTCACAGTATGACCTTGGACAAGCTACTTCACCCTTCTGACTCTCTGTTCGCTCACAAGAAATCGAGGATAATAATGCTTCTGCCTCTGAGGATTGTGGGGATTAAATCAGCTCCTTCATAAAATCCAATTAGGACAATGCCTAGCAGATAGTGTATGCTGAACCAGTGTTAACAATTCCTTGTAGTTCAATGCCTGGCACAATAGATGCATTCCTCTCCCCTTGGCACAATTTGCCTCTGAGACTTTATTCTCCCATAAAGGACTTATGTGACCTAATTGAGGCAGTGGTCTTCAATTTGGGGGCCCCAGACTGGCCTGAGGGTGGGATTAGGGTCCTCAGGACATAGACAGCTTCTAAATTCACCCCACCTGAGGGCTGGACTGGAAGGGAAGGAGAAAGGAAAACAGGCTTGCAAAAGCTTTGAAAAGCAATTAACTCTCACATAGGGAGCTAAATCAGAATTCTCTATGCTGCTTAATTGGGGTGATAGGAGCTCTTTTGATCAAACTAATCTGATTTCCCCTCAGATGGTTGAATGTTAATTATCTTCACAAACAGCAGCTGTTAGGGTGGAAAGAGCAAGGCAACTGGAAGGCACACACAACGTTTGAGGAGACGCTGAGACAGTCTTTGTTCCCGCATCTCTGGTCACAAAGCCTGCACACAGTTTTAAAAGAGGGCCTTGAGTCTTTCTGCTTTACCTGTATGTTGTTGTTGTTGTTAAGTGCCGTTGAGTTGGTTCCAGCTCATAGAGACCCTGTATAGGGTTTCTGAGGAGCAGCTGGAGGGCTTGAGCCGCAGACCTTGCAGTTCAAACCGACTTTGCAGTCTGGTGCATTAACCCACAGCACCACACCAGGCAGTGCTACGTTGGGACTGAACTTAATTAAGCCTTGAGCTTCTTTGATTATTTTGATTATTTTAAGTAGACTTTCACTTTGCTCCTTATTGCTTTATTTATATATATATATATTTATACTTACCATGCTTGCCTGGAGTCCTGGTGTGGCACTGTGGTTTAATGGCTTGCTCAAAATAAGTGTTCACCTCTCTCCTCATTTATAAAGTTTGGTTCTGTGAGTTTTTCTATTGAGAACTACCTGAAATCCTTTGGGGAAACAAGCTGGATATCGATTATGAATAAACTAATAAACTAGGCTCAGATTTTGAAGCCATTGCTATGGCATAAAGCAGATGCACAGTTGGACCTGAGACGAGACATGACTTCACTATGGCAGATGGGAGACTCGAGAGTTAGCAGATACTTAGCCTGTACCCAACACAGAGGTGACCTCCAGGACCAGAAGAAAGGATATGCAGGCCTTGGTCCCCAACATCTTTACCCCAGGCCCTGTGGGGAACATGGCAGGAGATGGATGAGGGTGCTTCACAGAATCAGCTTATCCCCAGAATGTGATTTCCCAAGAAGCTTCACAGAGGCAGTGACCTGCAAAGAAACAAAGCTTGTCAGGTTCCACATTTCTGAGTCATTTCTCATGGAAAGAGTAGGAATATTTCCTGAGCTGTGAGGAATGAAGAGATGGACTGAATAAAGTCTTATGGGAGGTAACATCTAAGTTGTGAAAACAGGCATCATGGGTGTTACAGAATCAGAGTTAAAAGAAGGCAGACTCCTCTGGGGTCTAGGTTCCAAGGCCTTACCTCAAAGTAGCATAAGGAAGAGTAGGGATAAACAGATTCCTTGTCAATGAGGAGGGGCCAGGGCTTACTCCCAGCCTCTGGCTGACTCATTAATTACTTCTAAGACCCAGGTTTGATGGGCAGTTGTTTTTCTGCCCATGGTAGGACTCACACTCTTGAACTGCATATTAGGACCATGTAACCCTAGCTTCCACTCCAGTGGCCTCTCACAAACGTGCTAAAGTGCAGGAATCTCACACACAACACCTCAATGAACATATTTCCAGATGCACATGGGTTACAGCTGGAACACATTTTCTGGTCTGTTTGTTTGGGGCCTAGATGGGCTTTACACAGCCAGGAGCAACTGAGGGGAAGCAGAGAGAATGTGTTAGGAGAGGCCAGGAGTCCCCAGTACTAGCTGCCGTTGGGTTATGGGCTGTAGGAGTAGGGAGAGGAAGGCAAGCCTGGCATTAAGGACAAGGAACCACGGGGTGTGGCTCAGGCTGTAGCTCAGCAGGACATTTTCCTTTCTCCCCAGAATATGACCAGTTTCTGAAGAGTCCAACGTGATTTCCTTCAACTCCAAAGTCTAGGGTTTTTAAGCAAAAGGAGATTCCCCCTTTCTAGAAAAAGTTTCTGAAGCACTTGAATTTCTAAGACCCCTGGGTCCTAGGGTAAAAACAGACCAATTCCACATTGCAGACCATCTAGCTGTAAACCTTCTACCCTGGCACTATCAACTGTTTCTCTGATGAGGGAACAGAGGACCATGGAAGTCCCCCAAGAACTCCAGCTATCGCGAGGATTATACCAAACGACCAGATGCTGAGCAGGGAGCTGAGTGGGCCTAAACTCAGCATTCAGCCTGAGCCTGCTCTGAGGCCGTCTGAGAGACCAAGGTGGCCTGAGACACCTTGTGGAAAAAGCATTTCCCATCTGGCAGCCCACAGAAGCTTTTCTCAGCATCCTAGTCATTACCTCAGCCAGTGCCCCAATAGTTCTTCATCCCACACTCCTCAGAACTCTCAGACAAAGCAGACTGGCTGAATGGCTGAAAGCAAAGCAGGAGTTCCCAGAGGTACCGAGACCTAATTGGACTACCTGGGGACCCTGAGCTCAGGTGGAGAAGGGAGAGGACTTTGGATTAATGTGAAATGAGAGCTGCAAAGCAGAAAAGGGTGTCTTCTCTATGCGAGAGGAGGGGTAAACCAGCAAAATCAAGGTAATCAGGGAGGTCAGAGCAGTGGGGTACAGGGAGAGTGAGAGGAATAGGAATGGAACTCACTGTGTCTGAGCAGGACTCCTCAGCTGGGGGTTCAAGTCTTCACTTCTCCAGCGGTCCAGCCTCCAGACCTTATATAGCACAGCTGGTGGTTCAGCCTGTGGCAGTGAGCCACGGGAAGCAACAGCGAAACCAGATCTGAGCACCAGGAAGCTCAGCCTCCCTCTCCCCTCCCCACAGCCCCTGCAGCCCAAAGAGGCCCAATTTCACTTCCAGATCCTTAGGGGGAGATGGCACAAGGCCTGGTGACAGGCCAGATGGTCAGCTGCCCGGGGTTCCACAGGCTGGAGCAGAGTGACAGGAGTGGGAAAGTGGGGTGGACATTGGGAGCAGCCCTGGGAGGAGGCCAAAGGGAATTCTACACTCTGGCAGCAATTCATGGCTCAGGGAATGGTGTGCTCTTGCTTAAGTCTTGCTTGCTGATCCCCCAAATTCCACTGGCCCTGGCCCACCAGGCAGAGAAAGAACTTTGCTAGTCTGAGCACATACCCCCATACTCATGCACACACAGCCAGTTGGGAGTGTTCAGTCTCAGTTTGGCAGTTGCTCTGACCTCTGAGGGAACACTCAGGGAACCTCAAAAGGGACAAAGGGCAAAGGTATAGGTTGTAACTTGGTGAGAAGAGTTCTCCCCTACCTCTCCTCACTTCTGTGGAGCCTGTCCCCTCTGGGTACCCACTGGGATTCTAGAGCTCCAGCCAGGTGCTCACATGTGTGCTTGTGTGTCTGACTGTGGGTGCGGGTGCCCACAAACATATGAACAGCCAGTCTTACCCACAGGAGGCAGAAACAGCTGTCTGTGCTTTGGGACTTCACACTCGCCTCCCGCGGCATGAGGTCGCCTTTTGTCACAGGCAGCGGTTCTCTGTTTTGGCTTCACCCCTAGAGTTCTAATTCACTAAGTATGAAGTGGAGCCTGAGACTAATTTCTAACAAGCTCCAAGATGATGCTGATGCTTGTGGTTCAGGGGCCACACTAAGAATTACTGGTCACAAGAATAGAGCCTCAGTAGAAGACAGAAGATAAGAAAGGGAGCATACTAAGAGCCACGGGCAGGAACCTCAGGTCTGAGGCTCAAGCAGCCGGGACAGGGCTTCGTGGCTTATACCAGGCTCTGGAGGTGGAAACCTGGCCATACCAGGATCAGCTCTCATTCCACAACACTCACTGAGCTCCTATTTGGGCCGACAGTAGTGAGGTTGGCCCAGGATCGGGCAGTGTTTTGTTCTGCTGTGCATAGGGGTGGTATGAGTTGGTACCAACTCAATGGCACCTGACAACAACAGCAACAACTAGGCCAGGAACTGAGAGAGATGAGAGATGTGTTCTTGTCCTGACAGCAAAGAGTCCCACACAGAAATGATCCCATAGTGCAGAGCTCTTGCCAGAGAGCTGTGTGTGTGTGGGG